GGCTCACCTGCCGCAGGGGGTTTCTGCTGCAGCTTGTGCTGCAGCAACGCAAACCCCGTAAAAGTCATTGTGGCCAAATTCTCCTTTTGTCCCTTTTGTTTGCTGCTGCCCAAACCCTAGCACTGTCCCGTTCGCGTCCCACTCCCGCACTGCTGCGCAGTTTGCTGCTGTCGCCTGCAGCAGCAGCAGCAGCAGCAGCGGCAGCAGCAGCGGCAGCAGCAGCGGCAGCAGCAGCAGCAGCGGCAGCAGCAGCGGAAGCAGCAGCGGCAGCAGCAGCAGCAGCAGCGGCAGCAGCAGCGGAAGCAGCAGCGGAAGCAGCAGCGGCAGCAGCAGCGGCAGCAGCAGCAGCGAGGAGGAGCATGCAAGTGCAGCGAAGGCGCAGACGCCGCGGCAGCAGGAAACGCGTTGCTGCTGCTGCTGCTGCTGCTGCTGCTGCTGCTGCGAGGTTTTATCGCTCGTGATGTAGAGTGCTGCTGTTTCTTACTGTTGCTCTTTCTGTCTCTCAAAAACCCAAACCCTAAACCCTAAACCCTAAACCCTAAACCCTAAACCCTAAACCCTCACCTTCTCGGGGGCGCATCTTTGAGAGCTTCCGAAGACCAGCGCGCCATGCCTTTGCAGCAAGCCCCACAGCACAAGCCCTAAACCCCAAACCCTAATCCCTAAACCCTAAACCCTAAACCCTAAACCCTAAACCCTAAACCCTAGGCCCTTCGCCACAGAAAGCACTTTGTCGGAAAATAAGAGTAAATGAATTGGCTTTGCAGATGCAAGAAGGAAAGAGACAGAAAGAAAATTGGACAAATAAAAAAAAATAAAAAGAAATAAAAGGAAAATAAAAAAGAGACAAAAGGAAATAAAAAGGAGATATAAAAGTGACAAAAAAGGAGATAAAAAAGACAAAGTTGAAGAATTCAAAATGAAGGGACAAAGAGACAAAGAAATCCCCCAAAGATAACAACATGTCTCTTTGCTGCTGCTGCTGCTGCTGCTGCTGCTGCTGCTGTTGCTTCGGATGCTTCTACAGATACTGCCGCTCAGCAGCGCAGTATCTGCTGCTGCTGCTTTTGTTGCTGCTGCTGCTGCAGCAGCAGCAGCAGCAGCAGAAAGCAAGGAAAATGTTGTACTCACGGATCTGCAAAGAGACAAAAAAACAATTTAAAAAAATAAAAATAAAAACGCATGCAGAAGCTGCGCATACACCTGAACTGCGCAGCGCTGCAGCAGCCGCTGGGGTGTACGTACAGCAGAAAGAGGGAAAAAGAAGAAAAATGAAAACGGAAAATAAATCAAAAATGAAAAAGAAATAAAAAAAACAAAGAATTAAAAAGACTGAAAAGTATTTAAAAGCATTTAAAACGACTCAAAAGGAGAAAAAAGAAGCTCGAGAACGGCGCCTTGGGGTGTACGTACACCCCAGCGCTGCGGCGTGCGCGCGGACGGCCCGCGCTGGGGTGTACGTACACCCCAGCCGCATGCAAACGCATGCGGGTGTACGTACACCCCAGCCGCATGCAAACGCATGCAGCCCCAAACTCACCGAAGTACTCCAGAGCTTCTTTGCGGAGAATTGCGGGGGCTGGGGCCCCACAGGCGAGGGCTGAGAGGCCGCAGAGGACTGCGTCGAGGTGAAAGAGAGAAACTCGCCGCAGCGCCGAGGGGCTTATTGCTGCTTTGCTGCAGCAGCAGCAGCAGCAGCAGCAGCAGCAGCAGCAGCAGCAGCAGCGGCGGCGGTTTTGAGGCAGCAGGAGGCTGGGGGGATGGGCACGCGGAGAGCCCAGCAGGAAAGGCAAACAGCAGCTGTGCTGCGGGGGGGGGGAAAGGAGGAGGGCTAGGGTTTAGGGTTTAGGGTTTAGGGTTTAGGGTTTAGGGTTTGGGCGGGAGCGCTGTCAAACGTTCGCACAAAAAAGGCCGGGCAGTGGAAGTGAGCGCAGCAAAACCTATGCCAGGGTTTGGGGTTTAGGGTTTAGGGTTTAGGGTTTAGGGTTTACTCGTTTTCGATGAAGCTGATGGCGTATTGAGCAATGCCAAGGGCTTGGTTGGTGTTGCTGCGCAGTGTACATACACCCGAAGGCTGCAAGACCGTGCCCTGGCTCATTGTGGGGTCGTTTGAGTTATTGAAGAGAGAAAATGGATATTTAAATGCGCAAATGAAAAACAAAATAATAATTAAAGAATATTTTGCAAAAAGAAATGAAAAAAAAGGGAAATTTGCGAAGAATTAGTTGCGGATTTGCCGCAGCTGAGGTGTACCGACACCTGCTCGTGCGAGTTAGAGCGTTGGTGTCTGTTTTGTTTTTCTTTCGCCCAAATGAAGCTCTAAATGCAAATTTAATTATTTATTTTAATTTAAAAACAATTTTAATTTCTCTTTTTTCTTTTTTTAAAAGTTATTTCCTCCAATTTAATGCCTTTTGGCAAACTCGCGCGGGGGTCGGTCCGGTCTGGTCTGTTTTTCAGGTGTATAGCCACCTCAAGCAGTTTCACTGTTTGTTTAAAG